TCCAAGAGCCTGCGATAGGGGGGAGGGAGGGGGGAGGAAGGGGGGGGAGTGTTTGGGTCTGAGGGGGAAAAGGCTGATGAGCTGATTGAGAGATCAAAGGTGGAGCACTCAGCATCCTAATGACTCCCTTTGGTGTTGTCGGGAGCTCAGAACAGCCCCGCCGGGACCCCGGCGACGAGAGCCGGGTCGCAGTTTAATGCCTGTGTGTGAGTGTGAGTGTGTGTTTGTTTGTGTGTGTGTGTGTGTTTGTGTACAGAGCGTGCTTGTGCAAATCCAGAATGAATCATTTCTTCGTAAGCTCCTTGTTTGCCAGCCCTGGATGGTGATGGAGTGTGTGTGTGTGTTTGTGTGTGTGTGTGTGTGTGTGTGTGTGTGCAGAACAGGTCAACAGTTTGGATGTGTTTGTTTGGGCTTAATGACGGCCCGCTTTGGCTTCGTGGCTTCATTATCTGTGGGACTCGTTTGTTTTGGTCCCTTCTCCCTCCTTTTCTTTCTGTCTTGTTACTGCAAACATTTGCGGCGGCCTGGAGATTACGGGTCTTATTTAATTACATGAACAAATGATGTTTGTTTGTTTTTTGCTATGGGTCAGGATAAGTCAAATGGAGTCAGAGCAACGAGTAAGCTAACCGGCTACTTTAATGACCTTTGTAGCATTTCTAAATCTTTACAGTTTCAGGCTTTAAGAGCATTTTGGGTTTGTTTTTTTTCTTTTACTGAATGTGATCCTTAACTGAGCTCCACACAGACTTTTCTCTTTTCTTATAGTCACGTATATTTAACCCTTTCGGGCATGCTGCTCACTACAGCGGACAGCTATTTAGAAGCCGTTTCCCTGTGTATTTATGGGTTTTCGTGTTTTCAGTGCTCACAGACCACTGAAGCGGACACCGTGCATCATGCAGGGAAAATGAAAAAACATGCTCAGTGAAATCCCGTTAAAGAGGAGCTGAGATGGACTAAAATAAATCCAAAGGGTTGAGCGAGCAGGACTGTGAGATAGTGGTGAATATTAGAACAGGATGAGGGGAAAATCTCAAAACGTGTGCTGTCCACTGGAGTGGACACCTGGAAAAATCCTTTAACAAACATGCAGAGATTCATGCATGAAAGGGTTAAAAGGTCAGAGTTCATGATTCTGCCTTAAAACCGGAAAATGTTCCCTTTTGTTGTCCCTCTCTGGTGGACTACAGAGCAGCTGAAAGCCCCCCTAGACGAGTACGTGAACAAGCGCTACCCTGGGTTGGTCAAGATCGTGAGGAACCAGAAACGAGAGGGACTGATCCGGGCCCGGATCGAGGGCTGGAAGGCGGCCACCGCCGAGGTGACGGGGTTTTTCGACGCCCACGTGGAGTTCACGCCCTCGTGGTGAGTGTGGCGCTTATTTAAAAGGGACGTATTATCCAAAACCAAGTTTTTAACCGTTTGATTGTGTACATTTGGGACTGTGGAGGGCCTATCAGCAGGCAAAGTG